AGGGTAGTAGTCAATGACTTCATGAATGCCGTGTGCCCCTGGAGGCTGGGGGGGGTGTGGAGACCACCCACGGGTGGTGGTGGGAGCATGATGGTGGCAAGTGGGGAGCTTCTACAGGCAGCTGCAGCAGTTTTTGGCGGCAGAGAGGGACGGGGTGACGAATGCTGATCAGGAGTCGGCAACCACCCGCAGATGCCAGCGGTGGTGGCCAGCGGTGATCGGAGACCACCTGCAGACGCCAGCGGCAGTGAGGGGGGAGAAGGGGGTGAGCGGCGACCGGCTGGAGGTGCTGCCAGCAACGTCGGTGGCACTTGTTGCAGGGGGTGCACCGCCAAGCTCAGGGCATGCACGTGCATCCCCTACACATCACCAATGAATGGCTTGATATCTAGTTGGCAGCTGGTATCAAGTGGAGTGCCCAATGGGCTGGTCCTGGGGCCAGTTTTGTTCAGTATCTTCATCAACAACCTGGAAGATGGCATAGAGTGCACCCTCAACAAGTCTCCAGATGACACCAAGATACAGGGAGTAGTAGATATGCTGGAGGGTTTGGCTAAGATTCAGAGTGACCTAGACAAATTGGAGGATTCAGCCAAAAGAAATCTCATGCAGTTCAACAAGGTCAAGTACAAAGTTCTGCACTTAGGATGAAACAGTCCCATGCACCAGTACAGATTGGGGGCTGATAGGTTGGGCAGCAGGTCTGTGGAAAAGGACCTCGGGGTTACAGTAGAGAATAAGTTGAATATGAGCCAACAGTGTACCCTTGTTGCCAAGGTGGCTAATGGTATACTGGACTGCATTGGTAGGAGTGTTGCCAGCAGGTCAAGCAAAGTGATTATTCCCCTCTATTCAGCACTGGAGAGGCCACATCTGGAGTACTGTGTTCAGTTTTGGACAAATTGGACAGAGTCCAGCCAAGGGCAACAAAAATGGCGAGGGGGCTGAGGCACATGACTTCTGAAGAGAGGCTGAGGGAACTGGGCTTATATTTAGTTTAGAGAAGAGAAGAGAAAACTAAGAGGGGATTTAATAGAAACCTTCAAGTACCTGAAGTGAGGTTTGAATGACAATGGAGCTAGAGTTTTCTCAGTGGTGGCAGATGACAGAACAAGGAGCAATGGATTCACGTTGCAGCAAGGGAAGCTGAGGTTAGATATTAGGAAGAATTTTCTCACTAGGAGGGTAGTAAAACACTCCAGGTTACCCAGAGAGGTTGTAGAGTCTCCATCCTTGGAGGTTTTTAAGACCCAGCTGGACAAAGCCTTGGCTGGGATGATCTAGTTGGGGCTGGTTCTGCTTTGAGCAGGGGGTTGGACTAGATGACCTTCTGAGGTGCCTTCCAACCCTAATTTTCTATGATTCTATGAAGGCACTGGTCTGTGTGGTGTTTTTGGGGGGAAGAGATACTGCAAAACTTTGGTTTGTATAGGTTGGTTCCTGTTGGGCACTTGCATTCAGTGGAAATTGTTTGCTCCCCCAGGGCTGCCCCTTTGATCAATCAGCATAGGATGGCTATCTGTTTTTGGGAGAAGAAATACAGTATTAGTCCTGTCCTTGAGTCCTCCAGTAAACCCTGAGGTTTTGTTTGTGCATGGAAGTTACCCATATAATTGTGTATCAATATAACTGTTCATGTGGATACCATCTTTCTGGAATAAGGGTTTTTCCCTCCCCGGTTTAATATAAGTCTTTTTGGAAATAGTATAAGCTGTCCTGGAAAAGTGCACGCAGTTTTTTCCCTGGGGGGTGGGGAGCAATCTCCCCTTAAAAAATTGTTAAATGCTAATAAAGTTTCCCTGTAAACAAACCACAACTTTCACAAGGTGCAACCTAGAATTATATTCCTTAATGGAGTAGTGAATGTCTTCCAGTTAGTCTCAAGTTTGTTCCTTTATACTCACTGGTATTTTTCTGCTTGCTCTCCGTCCTATCCTCTCTCTCATTTTCTGCTTCCCCTTTCTTCTGTGTTTTTCCCAAGCAGTATTATTAGTTTCTTTACTCCTGTGCCACTGGTAGAGAGTTGCCTTCCTACCGTTGAGTGTAGTCATCTTTTCCTGAGACCTTGCCTTGCTCAGTTATCTTCTGTAAATAGGTATAATATAAAGCTTTGCTAAAGTTAAAGCCCACAGATATTTCTGGCTTGGAAGTAGAAAGCTACTCCAGCTTTGGAAAGTAACAAAAGTCTGTCTAGTATTTTCTTGTTCATTTTTTTGTTGTGTTTAAGGGTAGTAATACCTACCAAGCTCCAGGAAAGTCATTAGCAGTATGGCTGTTAAGATCATCTGCCATTGTACACAAGACAAGTACATGCTGTACCAAGAGTCATAGATTCATAGATGTTAGGGTTGGAAGGGACCTCAATAGATCATCGAGTCCAACCCCCTGCATAGGCAGGA